CTCTATATCGGTTGAAGAATTATGTAGTGAAAAAGTGAGACCGAAAGTCCCACTTGAGCAAAACAGCAAATCGGTGCCGATACAGCCTGAAGAAACAAAAGTTTCACATGATTATATAGTCACCCACCCAAGTCATAACCAGGCACAAAGTATCATTTCTTCTGAAATAAATATTATGACCGAACATCAACCCTGCAACCCTGGGTCTCACCCTCATGTGGCTGAAACTAAAAACGATTCAATTCAGAAGGATAGCTGAATTGAGATGCAAAAATTTATACAAGAATTATATTTAGAACCCATAACAGAAGAATCAATTGAAGTCATTAAAAATAAAGAGCCGGATATATCAGATCACAATGAAAATGACGAAAATGACAAACATATTGTTATCGAATTGGCTCATTTATATCAAAAAGCAAGAAAGCTAAAAAGAATACTATCTATTCTAAGCAAGAAGAAATTTTAAGCTGGTATTATTATGCAGAAGGTTTCGAAAGGAGCGTTAATGGTAATTTATCTATTTGCCAAAATAATAAAAAAGCAGATGACTTGACAAGAATTCAAGCTTATGATGAAATTTGGGATTGTCTTTCTGGTATCTCACGTGAGAATTTCCACAAGCAAACTCAAAGAGCTTGTAAGATTTATAAATTATTTAATGGTATAGGAAAGGATAAGATTAAATGGGTTAAATCTTATAGTGTGAATGGAATATCAAAACTCTCTAACTCGCAAATTCAATATATTATAGAACATTTTACCAAAGAATCCCAAAATAGTAAGGATACTTTTACTTTTAACAAAGTGGAATGTGTACTGTGCGACCTCGGGTCTCACCCTTATGTGACTAAATCGTCTGACCCAAATGATTTAGCGGAAAGTAAGATAAGTGCATCACCTATATCTCCATATAATCCAACTCGTAATCATGCTTATTTCCGAAATAAAACATTGGATCAGTATCCTAATTTATATCGAGAAGGTAGTAATGGAAACAACAATTATTATGAAATTACTGATGAATCTTTATACCCACTATGCAAGTTAGATCATGATGATGATAATGGTATAGAAGGCAGATATGAAGTTGGATCCTACTATATTAAATGTGAATAGCGTAGAATTGAAATTGAGGTAACGGCATGAACTTTATCTTATGCTAATACAATTCGCTTAAGTCTTTAAGGCATCTCTCTGAGACATATTTATTTTTTGTTGGTTATTGTATTGTGAAACAATGAGCTTCGCTCTAATCTAAAGAGATGTGCAATCATATAAAATGGGAACATGATTACGCAGGCAAAGGCCAATAAAACATTAACTTACGAATATTTGAAGTGGGAAGCCAAATTAGAATTACCAAGCATTTTGTCTGATAAAACTCATTCTAGATTCTATAATAGATATAAGAATAAAATTGGGCTCGACCCCTAGATAATGTCTGAAACTTTTGAGTCCCCACAAATCGAAAAGGATACTGAAAAAAAGACGTTATTTGTACCACAAATAAATGTTTAGCCTACACCATCCAAAATTCGATCACCAATTTCTGTTCTATCTAAAGACCCGGAAGAAACGCAACAACATGTTATTGAAATGGTATTAGAACGATTTTCTTATTTAACTTTGAAACATAGTTTTAAATATAGTAATTATTTTGATTTTAATAGATCTGTACTCTGTCCTATATGCAACAATGATCATAAAAAAGAGAATATAAGAAATTTTATAGAGGATGAGTGAAAAAACTTATCGTCTCTATTGTTATAAAAATAAATATCAAAATTCAATCCAAATAGTAACCATAAAAGCGTAGGTTAATAAGAAAACTCTTTTATTTCCACTAATTAATAATCGCAAATTGCATTGCAGACCCGAAGGGGCAACCCTAAAGGGTCAAAATCATATAAAAATAAAAGATGATTAGAAGCCCAGTGGACCCCTTCTTTATTTAATATTTTTTTTCCGGAATGACAACAGACGAATAAAAAAAAACATATAATAAAAAAAACAAATAAAAAAATATATATTGCTGTTACATAAAGTGAATAAAAAAATATATTTTTACTGCTTTGGATTTATAATGAATATTGTGTTATCAAGATCTTCAGGTTTTTTAAAAATTTCAGATAATTTCTATTCTGATTTAATATCTTATATGTAAGCAATTCTTTTGACCGGAATTTTAAAACATGCTTCAATCTTTGCTTTAAAATCTTTGAATGTATAACTCCACTTAATTACATCAGGATATTTACGGGATGGAAATTCAAGCATAGTATTAAATTCATTGGGAAGTGTGGCTATTTTTTCTGAATATAAAATTTTAATGAGTTTCGCTTTCATAGTTTTTGCTATAAATGTCACAATCTCATATAAATCATTACCTTAGAACTAAATTGCAGGTAACTTATGTTAAACTTTTTTTTCAAAAATATATAAGCAAAAAATAACGTTATTGCTAACTTATCTTATGGGCGGGAACTTGCTTATTTTATACTGTTCATTCATTAGATCTTAGAACCTACCAGAAAAAAAAAGTACACAATTAGTAAATAAATATCAGAATAAAGTAGAATAAAGCAACTCCGCTCGGCCATAAGTTCCAAATACTGGGTCTATTTTGTTATTTTTCTGGTAAAATTAACTCTATTAAATTCGACGATCATTTCTGTGAAGTGAAAAAAGTCAATGATCTTGACAATCTGGGAATTCCAAGTCCTCTATGATATATAAATTTGGACAGGTAAAGCCTGGGGTCTATGACCCATAAAACTACTGATAAGGAACGTTATACTTATTACCTTATATCCTTTTTAGACACGAAATGTCCTGCTTCGCAGAGCCTCGCAAGATTGTATAGGTCTAGACATTATTCGCAATATTCGTTATTAATAAAAATTAATCATGAGAATTAATCCTGCAGGAGAGAGATACAAACCAATTCCTAATTTTATGCAACTTATAATATTGTAACACAATAAAAAGATTTTTAAATTATTCTCACTACGTATGTATATTAAAAGGTCATAAACTACTGTTAAGCCACTGTCTCTTGGAAAGAGGATGCTCTGCATCTGAAGTACTGTTGATACATGTTTATAATAGCGATAATTCGAAGGTGTGGTTATACGGACAGTTCGATTTTTTCTTTCATCGATCAATAAGCGTAATTGTTCATCGGTCCACATTACAAAAATTTAATTTTAACGATACCCAACTGAGATACACTCACGATATGATATTTCCATATGTTTTTATAAGAAAAAAATCATCACACCTTCAACGCACCTTCATCGTACCTTCATCGTACCTTCATTGTGCCTATTACATTTTAATTATGAGTTGATATAATAACAACATAGTCTATAAGTATGGATCTAGATATAGGGTATCTACACACATCTCGGATTTGCTTATCTCAGATTAGGTGATCTCAAATGAAAATAATGATTATTAACCCGATTTAACATTACGTCCAAAATGTGTATTCTTTATCGTAGAGAATAAATTATGTGATAAAAAGTGGATCTGTGAGATTATACTTTTACACTTCAGTAAAAAAAATGATGCTAAATGTTTAATTAATATATGTTGTGATAGTTATAATGTATAAAATAATGGTTATTCTAAATTTGTAAATCCAGCTTAAATACACGTATAGCAATAACATGTAAAATTTTTACAGTACCTAAATACGTCTTTCAACAAGTTATTAATAATCTAATCCGAATATAGAAAATGTGTGATTGTTGATTGATTTGTCGTGTGCAATAATTGTTTGTTAGTAATTATTCAACAGTGTCCTATGGCCTGGATGTACAAATATTTAAATGGCTTATTAGGTAATCCGCCTCTTAAAAATAAACATACTATTAGGATAATCGAGGCTATTAATACAACACCAAATATAACAAGCCACGTAACAATAACCAACTTGAAACATTCCTT